CTATTTTTAAATTTTAGCATTTTAATATTCAAAAAATTTTATTTGTATAGTTAAAATCAAAAGATTAATTTATTACATTGTTTTAATAAATGTACTTTATATTAGATAGCATATGCAAGATTCTGACAGAGGTAAATTTTTTTAATTATTAAAATACAGTCAAACCTTGGGTTTTGAATGCTTCTTTTTTCAAACAATTTGGTTTATGAACAAAATTTTTAATGCCACATTTGCCCCAGTTGCCTTTTTAATAACTTGGTGCTGAACAAGCTTCTCAACAAGAGCTGGCCACAAATTAGAGACACACAGACAGTCAACTCCATATACTTCCTGTGTTAAAGAAAGTTGATGACCCAACCAATCAATGACAGACTATTCTATATCAGTAGTCTGTCATTGATTGGTTGGGTCATCAACTTTTGGTTGGGATATAGAAGATAGTGGTGCCACAATCACCTGGCATCATTAGACATCATGACACAAACCATTGAAGATGATACTCAAATTAGATTTCAATGTGCATGTGGGAAAGATACTACTATTACACTGCTGATACTTTATGACTGACTAGATAACCATTCATTTTACAAACATATCCTGTGATACTCTTTAGATATTCTAGTATCTAGAGTATCTAAAAAGGACTATCAATTATGATGTGTTTTTCGGTATGCATCACAACTGAATTTAAATTGAATTAATTAATAAAAACCATGATGATTGACATTTGCATAATATAAATAACAAAATTTTATTAATATAATATTTATTAATACTAGGTAGACAGTTAATTAAAACTAAAAATAATAATTAAAATGCTGGTTTTTACACAAAAATTGAAACAAAAAATAAAATTAATTAATTTAAATTTAAATCAAATCAATTGAAACATAACATTTTTGGAAAGTGTGGATAAAGTACTTGTTGTCTGTCTTGATTGATTGGACTGCAATTTGAAAAATTTGTAGACATAAATTCCCAATGTCCATCCATCTGTCTGTTCTTCCTTTCTTAATCTTGAAATGGAGTGACCAGATGTGAAAAGCATAGGGTCAGGAAGTCCCAATTAACTAAATACTATCCTCTAGTTTATACCAGAAGTCATGTCGTTTCAATTCAAAAATTTTCCATTGAAAGGAGTTAGATAAATGACCCATACAACTCTATTGCTAGCAGGAAAAATATGGTGTACAGGGTCAAGACACTACTAATTTAAAGTGAAGAAATATTTAAATTAAATAAATTAAAAACATGATTAAAAATTGCAGCCTAGCATTGTGACAATGTCACAATAATTAATTGCTTGTTTGATTATATTTCATCCAGGCAGAGTTGAGTCTCTGTTTATAGCACTTTTTTTATGAAGTGATGGTTTCAGTTGGTGGTAATGAAACATTTTTGCTTTTAATATATATGTAAAACTAGCTGTTACCCGCAACTTCACTTGCATGGATTTTGCAAGCAAACCTCATCTATATTCAGTATTTCAACAACCATAGTAATTGTTATATAACACCTACTGCTGAGGATGATGAGAATTGCTGAGAATCAAACAAACTATTTTCAATTTGATCAATTTTCTGGAATGTTTACAATTGTTCTATAATCGAACCAATATCCAATAACAAATTCAAATTTAAAACGGTTCAAACATTTGGTTAAAAAATCGAAATATATAAAAATATTTATAACAATGTCTGAAATGTTATCAATTTAATATACCTAATGAAAACTCAATATTCAATGAAAACTACATATAGTTGAAAACAAAAAATTGCATCTAAAATATCACAGTAGAAGCTGTTCTTCAGGTTAAGCCTTAATCCTTTCCCTCTCCCCCCCGCACAGGAATTTGAAATACTCCCATCTTAGTGTGCGTTTTCATGACATACCCTAACTGTGTACAAAATTTCACCTCTAGGTTCAGTGGTTTGCTCTGGATAATGATGACTCAATCACTCAGTCAATCAGTCAGTCAGGACAAGTAATTTTATATACAGGTATACCTCGCCTTACGTCGGTAATTGGTTCCAAGAGAACGACGTAAGTCGAATTTACTTGTCTCCGAATCTACTTATCACTAGGCTAAACCGTAAATTACCGTTTTCGGTTCTGTATTTTATTTATNTTTGCCGCCTCCTAAAAAGTGCCGCCCGGGGCGGGCCGCCCCTTCCTCCCCCACTACGGTACGCCACTGTAATGGCCATACTTTTCAGTTCATTCCTAATATAAATTATTTTTATTATATACATTGGTTCTCTCCAAATTTTTATACTACACAACTGCACACTAACCATGGAATGTTTGCAAGCTACTTAGACAGATTTACGAATAGGGAATCTAGCCTATGCCCGGCGTGTCAAGTTGAAGATGGTGCCCTACATTACATTTATGATTGTGTAGCCCTGAAACAAAAAAGACTGGAACTTATTCTCCTGCTCCAGGAACAAAATATTATCTGACCTTGTGTTCCTTCTGACTTTTTAAAGAGCGAATGTGTCTATCAAGCATTCAATAGACTAGCGGAGGTTCTATTGTTTTTCACGTATCACATACTATTGCGCTTTGTCACCCAAACTTCTTACTTTGTTTTCATACTTTCTTTACATATGTTTGTAATTTCATCCTTAATTTCATTTTTTATTTTTATATAAAAAATACTTATTCTAATTTGTTTTAAAATGTACAATATAAATATAATCTTTCTGTATTCACCTGTCTGTTAACTAGTTTGTTGGCATATTACTTTGTTATATTACGAAATACTTGTACTGATGCATTTCGAGATGTATGATTATTATTTGTAATTATGTATAATTATCTATATACAGAATAATCGTCAACATTCCACTTTAAACATTACATTTTGTTTTTGTTTGTTTTATTTATGAAAATACTTATTCTAATGTAAATATTTATTTGTGTTTATGATTAATTGTAGACGTAACGATTTGTTATTTACATGAAATTGTTTATTGTATCTGCGAATTTATACGCATGCTATTTGAGTATTATTTGTGCGGACATACTCTTCTTCTTAAACTTCATTTTGTTCTTATTGTTACTACACCAATTTATGCATTCTAATTCTAATTTTGCTATCAGTATTCTTTATTTTCGGAATCCGCTACCCACAAGGACTACAAAGGTATGTTTTTGGCATATATACTTTGAAACTGTTATGAAACTGTTTATTCTAATACATTTGGAGTTTATAATTACTTCTTTGTATCTACCTGTTTATAGACTGGTTATCTGTTAGTATGTTAATTGCATTTATATTTTATTTATGCCATTCATGGAAATATTTATCCTGACACTGATTTGTATGTATGAATTGTATACAATGAAATCTCTCTCAAATGTATCTCGCTGTAATTTGATTATTCTGTTATTTTATGTATGTACAGTACTTTGAACTTTATCCATATAAACATTTCCCTGGTAATGCTTTCTGCGGAACCAGGATATACTGTAGGACATGTTGCTTGTGCAATAAAATAATGAATGAATGAACTTACTAGCTGCAATAATAGTTCAATTAGATGTTAAATACAGTATGATAATTGTAACAGACAATAAACGTATTTTGTAAATTCATGTTTGTGTCGTTAGTGCACAAAAGTGAAAACGAAATATAGCTTTGTGGAGTATTCAGTCCAGGACAATCATTCTAATTTCACTTTTATAATAAAATTATTAGGTTAATAATAAATTAAATAAATAAAAATTAACAATTAACGGTAGGATAGTCCATCGAGAGGATTTTAAATTCATTTTAATTGGTTGACAAACTTTGGCAACTGTTTGTGCTTTGTGTTGCCGAAACCCAATTAAACCAGAAATAGGGATGTTTGTAGCATTGTGGTAAAGTTTGATGGATATTACAGCGTTACACCTGTGTAACGCTGGATATCCATTAAATTTGGAGAATGAGTGAATAATTCTAATATAATTTTATTGAATTATCAATTATTGAACATTTATTATTTTTTGAACCATTTACTTGTTTGACTTACATATTTCAACTTTTTTTAGAAAAACCAGACAGTCTTGTTGTGGGCATGGCCAACTTTTTCCCAAAGAAAATAGAAAGAACAAGAAGCAATCAAGTTTATATCAAGTATTATATATATATATATATATATATATATAATACTTGATATAAATTTAGTTATTGATTCTACAAATCATTTGTGAAAAAGTATAAATTGACAATTTATATGCTGTATACGAATATTTTATATGCATTGAAGCATGATGTAAAAACATGACTTGCATGGTTAAAAATAGATCAAAATTAATTTAGTTACAGTTAATAAGCAGTCATCTGTATCAGAATATTTTCACTGTTAATTAATTAATTAAAATTCAAAATCAAAGATTTTCATGCTTTAAAAATGCTAAAATATATATCATTTAACACAGATTATAATTGCTGTTTTATATAAATTTATTTTAAATTCTAATCTTCCAAAAATGAATTTTGATGTAAAAGAAATATTTTCTAAAATAAATAAAAATTAGACAATATTGTATCAAAATAATTTTAATGGAAACAAATATCAACAGCATTCAAGAGAATACTATTAAACAGGATTTCTTTTATCTATAAATCTTATAAACAGTCATCAGTTTATTGCATCATACATTACTTTTTAACATTTAAACATCATGCAACTTAATTCATAACATTGATGGTAACAATAAACTTGTAACAAATGACTACTTCTGTATGATCGCACAATTTGAAGTAAAACTGTGGAATGACTAATTAAAAGATATCTGTTGTATTTGGCACATTAATAAATAAAATAACAATCCTAAAAACAAAGATAAAATTTGTATATCAGATATTACAGCAATAACAGTCCTTATAGTATATATTTCTGATTTTGTTAGATTCTTACAAGCTGATTAAAATTGCATCATTTGATTGTTGAAGTCTGACTAGCATCATTCTATATATTTAAAACTTTTTAATTACAAATTATTCTTGATTTTTCTAAAACTTTTCACTTTTTTTTTTAAATAATTCCTTGTATATAATTTCACATCAAATCTAACAAGAATCCCACATTTGTTCATATGAAGACAATACAGAAGATGAAAATACATTTATTATAAAAGAAATTTAATCATCATTCGTTGCTGAACTGCCTAGTTTATCTAGTTCGTAAAGAACCTCGAGAAGTGATGCGTGACTCCATGCTTGAATGGGGCAACTGTCAGGACAGAATGCCCCATTTGCATTGGTTAGTTCGGGTAGGCCTTTCCACTTCGATGTAATTACTTCTTGATAATGCTTAGAGAGTAATTCTTTTGTAAAGGCAACTGTGCGTTCCAGTTCTTCTTCACCTCCAATCTTTTTTGCAAAATGTAGTTTGGCTCTAAGAAAGTATCCTATAGGCCACAACCATTCCTAAAATAAAAGTTTAAAGTTAATTAATTATAATCACAGTCATAAAACTATTCTGTGTATTTACTATATATACATACAGGTCCTTGATGATAATTAAATCCTCTTGCAACTTTAGGATCAAATGAATCATCACTATTGTTATAATAACCACAATAGCTCCAATCACTGGTGCATAAAAGAAAAATTAATTGTATCATCAGTAAATTGAATAGTAATCTTATATAATCTTTCAAAAGCAATTGTTTTAGTTTACCAAGGATCTAATGTTTTCATTCCAAGTGGTCCAAGTATCAATTTTTGTGCTTTTTCTAATGCACACCAGGCATTTTTAGGTGTAAATAATTCTGGTGCCTGTTTAAAGAAAAATGTATCTTTCTATTCATTTTCATACATTTAAAACAATGAAATTTGGAGATTTTAAATCCCTTACCACCACCATAGTAATACAGAAATTTGGTCTCAATTGATAATCACTCCAGTAAGGATCTGCAAAATGTGAATCTTTGTATACTCCTCTTCGGTTTATCAGTTCAGGATGTGCTTCATCGGGACTAGGTTCAGTTTGAATCCAAAAGTATTTTTCAAAATTTTTTTGTATTAAATCTCCCCATTGTTGAAATGTCATTTCAATAATTTTTCCTAAAAATAATAATAATAAACATGTTTATATTATAAATATTTATCACAAATTATACATAACAATAGAGAAAGAGTAATATACAAGTATAAATACCATTTCCATTCTTTGAAACTTTATTATAAGGATAAAGACCTTTCTTATGCATTTCATGTAACCATGAGAGTGCTGATTTACACAGACCAATTAACTCAACCGCTGAGCCATTTCTATAAATAAAATTTTGAATTACATATTTTATATTAATTTAAAAACTTATTAATCTTGAAACCATGTTAAAACTTTAATTGTATTATTATTTATTTTGGAAAAAAATTCATTTTTAATGACATTAAAAGTTATATTTAAATATATAATAAATTTTGTAATTTTATCTTTCATGGTTATGTATATAAATTTAAAATATTTAAATAGAATGCACTAAATAACCATAGAGCAATAGTTTTCATACTACTGTATATTTTTTCAGGTTTTTGATTTTTTAATCTTTTTAAAATTTCCGTAATTTATATAAATTATCTTCTGATAAAATTTTATTTCTGTCCAGTACAACTTGCATTTGCTTTTAGGCTATTCTTGTTTAAGCAAAAACCAAAATGAACCATGTATCAAGAAATGATCGTTCATGAGAGATTTCAAAGTTTTCTGTCTCTCTCTTTTGGACTGTCAGAAACACCCAAAAAATGCAAAAATGGTTCTATATTTAAAGCTTCTTCCTAACTATTTACTTGAAGAAACCTTATATACCAGAGTTGGCCAAACCTTGTCATGACAGGAACCACATATTGCCTATCAGAAATACACAATATCCCCTATTGGAACAGTATTTTATATTATATAAATGGCAGAAATACAATTAACTGTGGTTCTGCATTATCTGAGGGATGTTTAAGTGAAAACACTCATTTCTGAATTACAATATATGAAAAGTAAAGTTCAAAACAGTAACATGTATATTACAAAGTTATTTTTCTGTTACCTTTATCATTTAACTTCAATGTGATACAAATCATTTCGATTAAAATGTAATTACAATGATACATATTTTTATTCTTAAAATTATTGTATGTATAATACAATAATTTTAAGAATAGCTACATAATAAATTATATAAAAATTGTTCTTATATATGATTAAATTCACTAAGGTATAAAAAGAGGCTTAAAAGTGATTTACCATATAAATCTTTTATATTTGTAATTTTTAATCTAAAATGGCTGTACAATGCTTTATCCAAGTTTTCAGTTATTCAAGATATAATTGGAGTCCACATTACCTCAAATAATTCTACTGTACTTAATTAAAATACTATACTTATCACTCTCTAGTAAATGCCACTGTTACACTGCTGATACTTTATGGCTGACTAGGTAAATATTCATTTTACACCAACTTTACAAACATATCCTTTGCTTTCCATTGCCTTTTCAAGATTGTGAGTTATGTTTATAATCCATATGTGTATCACATTATATAATAGTCAGAAAACTAGCAAAATATTACATATATGTAATTAAAACACATTAAATATATAAAAAGAAATCATAAGTATACAGGAACTACAATAGGGGTGCAGTTTGGCCACCATAGTTACATACTATATATATATATATAGTAAAACTTTACTTTTGTTACAGTATATCATGCAGAATCAACTCTGTGCATTATATCAGAAAATAGTCTCAAGCTGGCAATACATTTATCATATGAACATCTTTCAGTCTCTTTGGTAAATAGAAACATGTTAATTCAAGTACTATTTTAGAACATTTCAATTGTTTACTTTGAATGATTTTATAAAAATTTATTAAAAAATTTAATCAACACTACAAGAAACAAGTTTTGGAAGGACCTATCTAATGAAGGGTGATTCTTACCATGTTGATTGATCTGTGGTTCCTTTTGGTTTTTTGCATGTATAGGAATGGCTTGCAACCTTAGTAAGATGCATATAATGTCATAACAGTAGTAATAATAATAGTAAAATTTAAGCTTATACTACACTTTTTTATTTTTACTCTTAGAAAAATGTTAATTTCAAAATTACCTTACCTTGTTACAATTTTATCTATTTTTAAATTTTAGCATTTTAATATTCAAAAAATTTTATTTGTATAGTTAAAATCAAAAGATTAATTTATTACATTGTTTTAATAAATGTACTTTATATTAGATAGCATATGCAAGATTCTGACAGAGGTAAATTTTTTTAATTATTAAAATACAGTCAAACCTTGGGTTTTGAATGCTTCTTTTTTCAAACAATTTGGTTTATGAACAAAATTTTTAATGCCACATTTGCCCCAGTTGCCTTTTTAATAACTTGGTGCTGAACAAGCTTCTCAACAAGAGCTGGCCACAAATTAGAGACACACAGACAGTCAACTCCATATACTTCCTGTGTTAAAGAAAGTTGATGACCCAACCAATCAATGACAGACTATTCTATATCAGTAGTCTGTCATTGATTGGTTGGGTCATCAACTTTTGGTTGGGATATAGAAGATAGTGGTGCCACAATCACCTGGCATCATTAGACATCATGACACAAACCATTGAAGATGATACTCAAATTAGATTTCAATGTGCATGTGGGAAAGATACTACTATTACACTGCTGATACTTTATGACTGACTAGATAACCATTCATTTTACAAACATATCCTGTGATACTCTTTAGATATTCTAGTATCTAGAGTATCTAAAAAGGACTATCAATTATGATGTGTTTTTCGGTATGCATCACAACTGAATTTAAATTGAATTAATTAATAAAAACCATGATGATTGACATTTGCATAATATAAATAACAAAATTTTATTAATATAATATTTATTAATACTAGGTAGACAGTTAATTAAAACTAAAAATAATAATTAAAATGCTGGTTTTTACACAAAAATTGAAACAAAAAATAAAATTAATTAATTTAAATTTAAATCAAATCAATTGAAACATAACATTTTTGGAAAGTGTGGATAAAGTACTTGTTGTCTGTCTTGATTGATTGGACTGCAATTTGAAAAATTTGTAGACATAAATTCCCAATGTCCATCCATCTGTCTGTTCTTCCTTTCTTAATCTTGAAATGGAGTGACCAGATGTGAAAAGCATAGGGTCAGGAAGTCCCAATTAACTAAATACTATCCTCTAGTTTATACCAGAAGTCATGTCGTTTCAATTCAAAAATTTTCCATTGAAAGGAGTTAGATAAATGACCCATACAACTCTATTGCTAGCAGGAAAAATATGGTGTACAGGGTCAAGACACTACTAATTTAAAGTGAAGAAATATTTAAATTAAATAAATTAAAAACATGATTAAAAATTGCAGCCTAGCATTGTGACAATGTCACAATAATTAATTGCTTGTTTGATTATATTTCATCCAGGCAGAGTTGAGTCTCTGTTTATAGCACTTTTTTTATGAAGTGATGGTTTCAGTTGGTGGTAATGAAACATTTTTGCTTTTAATATATATGTAAAACTAGCTGTTACCCGCAACTTCACTTGCATGGATTTTGCAAGCAAACCTCATCTATATTCAGTATTTCAACAACCATAGTAATTGTTATATAACACCTACTGCTGAGGATGATGAGAATTGCTGAGAATCAAACAAACTATTTTCAATTTGATCAATTTTCTGGAATGTTTACAATTGTTCTATAATCGAACCAATATCCAATAACAAATTCAAATTTAAAACGGTTCAAACATTTGGTTAAAAAATCGAAATATATAAAAATATTTATAACAATGTCTGAAATGTTATCAATTTAATATACCTAATGAAAACTCAATATTCAATGAAAACTACATATAGTTGAAAACAAAAAATTGCATCTAAAATATCACAGTAGAAGCTGTTCTTCAGGTTAAGCCTTAATCCTTTCCCTCTCCCCCCCGCACAGGAATTTGAAATACTCCCATCTTAGTGTGCGTTTTCATGACATACCCTAACTGTGTACAAAATTTCACCTCTAGGTTCAGTGGTTTGCTCTGGATAATGATGACTCAATCACTCAGTCAATCAGTCAGTCAGGACAAGTAATTTTATATACAGGTATACCTCGCCTTACGTCGGTAATTGGTTCCAAGAGAACGACGTAAGTCGAATTTACTTGTCTCCGAATCTACTTATCACTAGGCTAAACCGTAAATTACCGTTTTCGGTTCTGTATTTTATTTATTAATGCATTTTTAATAATATATGGTTAATAAAAATCTATTTTAAGCTTACCAACAAATAAATACAGTACATACTTGTATATATTTTAATATGATTTTATGTGCTTTAAACGTTTTTCTAGTGATATTACGACTTCAATATTTGTGGCGGACAGACGTAAAGTCGAATAAAATGACTTAAACTTGATTTTTATTTTT